GTAAAATGATGTTTGTCCAAGAAATGCAAACAGGAAGCTTTTGGTTATTTTGATTTTTGTTTTTGTTTGTGTTTTTGTCCTTTGTTGTTGTTTTTGTTTTCTGTGCCTTTTGTCCTGTGTTAAGTTTATCTGCTTTGATGAGGGTAAGGGGAGAACACATAAATGGTGGGGCAAAGGGTGAACAAATGTAGCAGTGATATTCACTAGACACTATGTTGAAAATGTAGTGTACAATCTGGTGGGGGGGAGGGCATCAGGAAGGAAAAACTGGGAGAAAGTGAGGGAAGGGGTGACATTCAAAAAGAAAGATACTCCTTACCTGACTCATGTAGCTGTAACCCCTCGGTGTTTCACCTTTACAATAACAATTTAAAAGTCATGCAAAAAGAAGCACAAACTGCCAATAAATACTTGAGGATATCTTAAACATTCTTAGCTATTTTACCCTCAGGGAGAATGCTCAGCATCATAAAGCAACAAATGCTGGTGAATGTGCTCAAGGTGAATCTTAGACACTACTTGTGGAAATTTAACTTAGTACAGCCATTAGGGAGATCAGTGTGGACAGTCCTCAGAAAGCTAAAACAGATTTACCATATGATCATACTATATATCATTCTTGGACATATATCCAAAGGAATGTAAATCCATGTACTTTAGAAAGACTTGCACACTCTTAGTGATTGAAGCACTCTTCACAATAGCCAAGATATGGAATAGCCTAGTTAGATGATGTGTGATTGTGTGATAAAGATGGATGAAATCATGTCCTTTTCAGGAAAATGGATGAAACTGGAGATTCTTATGTGGTGAGCTAGACCAAACTCAGAAAGACATATATGCGCTTTCTCTCATGTGCTAAAATAAAAAGCATAAATATTAAACAACAAGAAAGGGAAATGGGAAGGGAGAAGATGATGAGAGGGTGAATATGATCAAAGTACATTTTATGCATGTATAGAAATATTACAATGAAACACCTTTGTATAATTAATATGTTAATTAAATTTATACTTGCTAGAAAGTTAAAAAGAAGGATTGGGATGGGAATAATAGAGGGGCAAAAAAGAAATTAAATATGTTAATCTCTACCTCAGTGTGCACGTTTTATATGAGCTTTAATTTGCCAAATAAATTACAGTTCTATGTTTTAAAAAAAAGAATAATAGAGGGGCTATATGAAAGATAGTTACATTAAGTATATGTAATTTATACACATAAAAATTATCCCAATTAATGAAGTCCCTTCCCATCACTTCTTCATTATCTGTAAATAGTTGTACAGAGGAGTTGGCATTCAAAATGCAAAAAGTGAAAAGGAAAAAGGTTGGGAGGGGGATAAGAAAGTGAAATACAGGGTGAATATAATCAAGATACATTTTTAAAAGATGTATGGAAATATCACCCTGAAAACCCTCAATTTATACAATTAAAACATATTAATTGACAAAAGGAGGATTTCCATAGTGACTGTGCTAATTTGCATTCCTATCAGCAGTGTATGAACATTCCCATTTCTTCAGCATCTTTACCAGCATGTTTTGTGTTCTTGATGACTGATTAGGGTGAGATTTGTAGTTTGATTTACATTTATTTGAGACAAGCCAAGCTCAAAAGACAAATATTGCTCTTTTTGCTCATATGTGGAATATTGACCTAAAACAGCAATATGGTATGATTATAAAGAAGGACTATTTGAGAGAGGGAACTAGTAGGAGAGGGAGTGAGAAAGGAGTACACAGAGATCTACAAAGAAACACACTTAAAAGGATGGGGAAAAGGAAAGAGACAAATAGTAATATAGATGGGGTGAATTTAACCAAGTACATGTATGTATGTATGTGTGTGTCTATCATAATTTCTACTTTTATTTTATTCATTTAATTGTATTAAAAATTTAACATTAAAAGTAGGTATGATTCAGTAAATGAACAGGGTGAAAGAAGGTGAATATAGTACAATGTATGAAAATAGAACAAAGACGCTTGCTGAGATTGGTTTGGGAAGGGAGAAAGGGGATGACCCAGAGAGATAGAGGGGATGAGTCTGATCAAGTACATTTTGTGCTTATATGGTTAATACTATGTTCTTAAGGATATTAAAATTTTAAAAAATAACAAAAGAAATAATGGTTGTTAATAAAAATAATGAAAAATAAAGAAATGAAATACTTGAGGTATATGTCTTATTGTGTGTGTATAATGTAATACCAGAGAGCAGGGCAGAATTGTTACTTCATGTAGTTCTAACAGCCTGATACACAAGGACAGAACAATTGGAAATGAGAGAAAATCCTCATCTATCTTCTCTGGTTTTCTTTATATGTGCAAAAATGCTACATGCCTAGAAGTTATTGTATTGTTAAGGGTAAGGATGAAGATTGAAAACTGTATAAGACTATCTTTGAAATATCTCCTTCTAAGTCTAGGATTCATATGCAAAGTATTAAATATTACTATCAGTTGCTCTTTTAAAGTCAGTTTAAAGATTAATCAGGACTCGTGTTTACCTCTGTTGACTTTTTTGTAAAATGAGAATTTAATCATCAGAAGAATAAAATAGAATAGTGCATACACATAATTCTCACTTCATAGTAGCTGTTGTTGTTATTGTTATGTGGTTCTCTGGCACTGTGTTAGATGAAAACAGGTGAAATTATGGAAAAGAATGAGAATTACATGCTGTCCGAAAAGCTTACTTGAAATTTACATTTCACAGAGGAGAAAGCACATTTATGACGATACATTCCTCCAGTTATGGTTCACATAATCTTACACTGTCCACTCCAATAATATCTCTTCTTAGCTCCCAGAATTTTTAAAAAATGGAAAAACTACACAGGACTCAATGCTGGGTCTAGACTTAATATCCCAAGGAGAGAAACAATTCTGCTACTTATGGCAACTCCTAGGGAGGTGGGGTATATAATTAATATAATATGAATGATGTGGTAGAGAACATGACAAGAGGTGAAACTGAAAGCTGATTAGGGCTTCATCAATTGGATGAGAGGCCCTGTGGGGGTTGGGGGATGATTGGAGGGATGTTCAGAAAGACAGGTTTTTTTTTATGAACAAAAGCAGAGAGGCATGAAAGAGCATTAGGCTTTTAAAAACAAATAAATCATTTTATGGGACTTGACATAGGATGCAAGGGAAGGATGACAAAGACAAACAGGCCAGAGAGCCTAGAAAAGGTCAACTCTTGTAACTTTGTGCTAAGCGTGATAAGATATGGGGATCTGCTTTCATAATTAATAGGAAATTACAGTTGAAATCTCAGGAGAGATAGAATATGACAACAGCCCCCCCAGGGCCTGTATTCTGAAATGCAGGCTGAAATTCAGTAGTCTCCTTGGGAACTGAATGGAGGAGACCGATACAAGAGGTGAAAACAATTAAAATAAAATAAATTAAAAAAGAATAAGCACACGTGATTTCCCAATAATGATTTTATTTATGTTTTACAAATTATCAAAAATTTGAAGTCATAGTTGATTATATATTTGGCTATTTATTTTTATGGAAAATAATATGATTACATGAAACTAGTTCTTTCCTAGGAAGTGATGTGAGAGGATTCTTCAACTATAGCCCTAGAAACTGTCAGAAATGTTAGGTCCTCAAAACTTTTATCAGACCTCAGAGGTCAGCATGAAGAATAACATGGAGCTGGTACAAGATGAAATCTTGTGCTTCTGCCATTAAAATTCATAATCCAACATAAGTAAATATTAGCTGACTCAGTTTCAGGTATTTTTAAGAGACTTCTAACTTAAGAGCTCTAGTAGTATTGAAAAAAGACACCTATGGAACAGTGACTGGTATAAAATAGCTCCATGTGCTATTACAAATTTACAAAACAAGTAGTTATACGTAAATATAGATTTAAAGTACCTTTTCCAGGGTCTTTATTCTGAAAGCTATATTGAACTGCCCTATCCGTCTGGTTCCTTGCTTGATATAAAACATCATTTTCTGGGTTTCTTTTCACCCAATGTGGAATTAAAATGTTAATTCTAACAATATTTTCCTATGCCAGTTTAGAGTTTATTACATTAGTGTTAAAGAATCCACCCAAATATTTTAGGAAACAACCTAGAACCAAAGCATCAAATTAAAATCAAGGCAAAGTCCTGTATATCAAAGCCCCACACTCAAAAGGTCAAAGATGTAAAAAGTGACCTTTATGTTCTTTTTATAAGGATACACAATATTTAGTTAGACTCAAAAATTATCAGGGAAAAATTAAAGCCTTTAACCAATAGTTACAATGTACAGAAAGATTTTTAATATATATATATATATTCAGTTTAGTGAATACTAAAATATTTGTGAGATATTTCTGTTTTAGTACATATTTTACTTTCTGTAAATGTAAAAAATAAGGTTAAATGTGAGAGTAACTGTGATTTTCTTCTATATTCCTAGTCCTACACAATATGTAACTGTATACAAATATAAAGCCATACTTACATGAAATGTGAAGAGAATAAAGCTCAAAATTTCTTAATAGTACAAAACATATGCCTAAAGCCTGATAATTCATTACTAATCTATTGTAACATGCTTAGCTGAGTTTACTGCATTATAATCAACATAGTATTTATTTCTCACCATATAATGCTTTGTAAATAGAATGAGAATTCAAAATAGACCCTTGTTCACGAGGAAAGAAAGATGATGGAATGGATATAAATCTCCCTTTAGAAATATTAGCATTTAGTGATAAATCCTGGAAAGCCTCAACTATCATTCACAATTCATTACTAATCATAATTTGAGATAGATCCTCAATTACTTGTATGTTATGGATATGTGTTATCAGTGATAATCTTGTGCCAATACACCAGAAAAACTGGAAAATTTCTGGAATTCACTAGAGGATAAAATTTACAGTTACACTTTGTTTACTGTTCTTAGAGGGAGTAAAGACTAGTTAAGGGGAACACTGATTTAACCAAAGACATTCAAAGATAATATACATGGGCCTCAAAACAAGTAGCTATGTTGGTTAAATGCGTTCCACTATCAGGTTTAAGACACGAAGGTGTCCATTTCTCTAAGAGAATTGCTTTTTCGGAAAGATACACTCTCTCTCTTGCCTTGGAGCCAAGTAATTGGAACCCTAAACATGCTGCGGAGCTTCTGTTGGAACCGGTTTCCAACAAAACAATACAGAAAGGGATTAACGCAGCTGTTGGTGAATCCCAGGAGGATGGCAAAAGGAAGTGCCAGGTCAATGACTGCTATAACTTCACAGCTATTAATGACACCCATCCAGGCCAGAGCATCCAGGAAGGTCAGAACATGGAAGGGAAGCCAGCAGATGATGAACGCCAGAACAACAGCAGCTGCCATCTTCAGGACTTGGTCACGGGTGATCCTGTTCTTCCCATAGCTATTGGTCTTCAATAAATGTTTTCTGATTCCAAAGTAACATGTTGCTATGAATATTAAAGGAATAATAAAACCAAGGATATTTTTCATTAGGGCAATTCCAGCTGACCATTGGGCATATTTCTCAGGTGGGAAAGCCATAATACAGGCATTCACTCCTAAGTATTCAATGGTTCTGACATCTCGGAAGTAAAATGTTGGCAGTGAGGACAGACAGGCCATACACCAAACAAGGGGAACTATATAAGATGCTTGCCAAGGATTTCTTCTTTGAGATAGAAAGGGGTAAATGACTGACTGGTACCTATCAACACTCATACAGGTAATAAAAAAAATACTTGCAAACATGTTCAGAGTCAGAAATGAACCAAAAACTTTGCACATCACAGGTCCAAAGAGCCAGTCATATCTGTGAGAATAATAGGTTGCCCAGAGAGGAAGAGTAGCCAAAAGGAGTAAGTCAGCCACAGCCAGGTTGAAGATGTAAATGCTAGAAACTTTTTTAGGACCCTTTTGACAACAAAACAATGTAACCACAATAGTATTAACAAGAAATCCAACCACAAAAATAATGTAGTACAGAATGGGAATTGCACTTAAATGTTTATCTGATGATTTGTGGGAGCAGTTAAAGGCAAACTCGTTGCCAGAGACATTGGCAAGTCCAAAGTGAAGACTGCTGGTGACATTTTTGCTGATGGTGGCAAGAGTGAAGTTGTCCTTCATATTGAAATGTCAGCAACTCACAATTCTTATACTTTCTGTAGAAGGAAGAGCATATAGTACAAAGCTCAGGGTATATTTAAATCATTAGGATTTTGAAAATTTGTCAAAGACAAAAAAACTAAGAAAATATTATAAAATAGGATCATATCTGTGGCGTAAGCATGGATTTTACATCTTGAGCAAGAAAAAACAATTTCTAAACAGTAATAAATAAGACATTTTAGCTTTAAGAACTGAAAATTCTGAACAAAACTACAGAAAATTATTATTATAAAGTCTAGTCAGTGTTAAAAAATTATGAAACAAATAAGAAGGAACTCCAAAATAAAAGCTAGTATTTCTTAAACACTTGAGCATCTACATCCGTGTACTTTCTAGAAATCATACTGCTATCTGCTGTTTCACAGAGAAATGCCTTATTCAAGGAACTAATTATATACAAATCATTATAGCTATGGAAAATGCAAGTAATGTAATCTATGGAAAAAATAGGTAAGTGTACAAATGACTGAAAAACTATGCAGGAGGAACATATTGGGATAGGGGATCATAGCTAGTTTTTACTAATTAAAACTAAGGTCTTTAATTTAATTTTTCCATTAACACAAATAGGAATTATAGCATATGTGCACATTTCCAAAAGCCTTCTGTTTATATTTTAATACAGAATATTAGTTTTATACATATATATGCATTTAAATTTAGTTTATTTCAAAGGAAAATAATGTACTTTGAATTTAAATTAGGACATGGAAAAGAAAAGAAAGTATCCAAACCTGTTCCAGGGTAGAGCCAGATAGTTTGGATTGCTCAATGAAATAGGAATTGACCATCAATTGACTAATCAGGATATAGTCCTATCACTTTTTTCTGCTATCTTTTCAGAACTAAATCAGTATTGCTCTCAAATGTTATAACCAGTGGTCAGCTTTGAAGAAAATTTGCCTAATTTTAACAGGCAACATTATTTTGAAACAAAAGAAAATTAGCTGAAGATAAACACAGCAGAGGAAAGACTATTACTTCAGATAGTTTCAAAGTATGTACTATTCCAGTCAGAAGGTAGTCACCATAGAACCTACTAATAACCAACAGACTATGATTTTTGCCTAAAGCTCATTCTCTTACATGACCTTAAAATTAACAAAAAAAAAATAAAGAAAATAAATCCCACTAAAGACTTACTGGCTGCTGAAGTTTAGAGCAGATATTATAAATCGGCTTGCCTAGTTCTCACATGCATTCCTGTAAGAGAAACAGCAATTAGATAATTTAGGAGTTTTGCAGAACACACAGTTAAAATACAGAAAAAAGGGAAAAGTTCATCCATGAAAAAAATATATTTTTATTTAATGTATGTTCTGCTTTTCGAGTCAAGTATGTATGAATTGTTCAGACTTACCTTAAAACTTCAGGCTGAAAAATGCTTTGAATTCTCTGCTTATTCGTTCGCTCTGGGACGTAATAGCACCAGATCTCTGGTTTCCTTCTTATATATTCAGTCTGTCCACTGGGGAGCCTTCAACCTACATAATTCTAGGGCTGACTTATGAACACTTGCCAGCTTTCCAGAGGGTTTTTTTTTCTGGCTGCAAAACATTAATCTGAAATTCTCACTGTCTCCAATCATAACAGCTCATTCAAATAAATCTCAAACAAAAAAATGAAGTTTCCACAAATGTGTTAGAGAATTTTGAAGTCAGTGGCTTACTTTAAAAGAAGAATATAATTCTTTGCAGTGTTCAGTTTCTTTTTTCCTGATACTGACATTCTAAACAAGTTAAGAAGTAAAATCTAGGGATTTTATTCTAATATCAGAGTCTTTGTTTGCAAACGTCTTTTGCATCCCACGGTCCTTTTTGAAACTTTTACCCGTTTATTAAAGAATGTAGCAACTTCACCTGAAGACTACAACTTTTAAAATTTCTACATTCCTTTAAAAAGTTTTTGTTGGCTTGCTTCAGGGAAGGGCATTGTGAAGATACAAAGAATAAAATTTTCATATGATGGAGAAGAAGTACTGATATTTATGGCTTAAATACAAAGCACACAGGGAAAAGAAGGATTAGACAGCCTTTTCAGCCTAATAACTTCTGTTGTTATTGTTTTTTCTTGTTGCAGTAGTAAAGATACCAACTTTACACACCAGACTAGTAGAAGCTAGAATGAGAAAACAAAGAAAGACAAAAAGGGGTAATGATCATGGATAGACACTAGATGACAATGAATACTGTGTGGTAAACACTGTGCTAAGTACTTTATGCTCAGTAGTTTAATAATGAGTCAATACAGCATACTGGTAAATAATGGCCTTTGGGATTCAACCACCTGGTTTCACAAGCCTAATCAAGTAGCCCTGGCCATGTTACTTTCTTGCTTCCTCTCTCAGTTTTCTCATCTGAGAAATAGAGATGATGTCAATTACCTACATCATGAACTTACAAAGATTAAATTAATGTACTTACTCAAAATGATGCCTAGCACATGGTAGATGCTTTTCTAAGCTATTAATAATGCCATTTTAGCAATCAAGAAACTAAGGTGCACAGACCTGAAATTTTTTAAAGTCACAGGGCTATTAAACAAGGACATTTGAATTTTGACTAAAGCAAACCAATGTCAAAGCTCATGCTTTTAACTCTGTACAACTAGACAAAGCACTAGCTGATCCTCTAATTTCATTCTTTGTCCTGGCAAATGAGACACATGTAGCCCTAGAGAAAAATCACTGTAGCCCATTCACCAGCTATTTCAAAATCATGAAAAAGAGGAGGAGTTTTGAAGAATGGCTAAGAAAGGGGAAGTACTTTTCGTAATTTTATTAGCAAAATGGAGAACAAAGAAGATAAATGTGTAAGTAATTTCTGTAGTTAGTAAAGTAGTTAGAGATGTTGGGATAGTTAAATAGGCAAAAGGAACCCAAGGTTTGATACAGATTGTATTTTTCTGAGAAACAGTAAAAGTGTACCTATCTGTTGCTATATGCTCTCAGAAGGGGAGGAGGATTGCCTTGCCACTCTTAGCTAACTGACTAAATACAGTACAGAAAGGATAGACCTGTTGATAAAGGACAAAATTACCAAAGGAAATTGCAAATGTGATGACAAAATGCACTTGGTTTTTCATATTTTTTGTTCCTACATTAATATTAGTCAGTCCTGTAACATAGAGGCAGACAAAACCAGTTAGAAGACTTCCTCTTTGTAAGATTCCAAGATTTACTATTATAGCATTTCTTTTGAATACATTGAATTTGAAACATTGATAAAAAAAACACCTAACATACATATGTATCACTTTATTAAATCTCCAAATCCTTGTTTCCTATGTGCTGCACAGATTCAAGTTGAAGCTCTAGCCAAATGATGGAAAACTGATGCTTGGGAAATGAGGAGCACATATGTTTATCGGCAGGAGACTTGAAATGGGACCTGGGTTCACTGTTTAAGCTTGGCTTCTCCCTCCATTTCAAATGTTTGTTTTTTTCCATATACACGTGAATTTTCCAAGTCAGTGACTCTTGAGTAGTCACAATGGGTCAGATTCCCATCCTGCTCTATTTCTAGCCCCCTTCCATGCCCTTTGCAAAGAAACAGACAGGAGGTGAGCTATAAACTTTTAAGAACAAACTGAAGGCTTGCCTCTGGGAGACCTAACCTTGAAAACTCCCTAGAAACAGGGGACCTTGTCTAGAGCTTTTGTCCTTCATTACAGTAAGTTCTGACGTAGATAAAGTTTAAAGAGGCACACATTTCCCAAATAAAGACATTGACTTTGTTTCTTCATAATTTTAGAAGCAAAAGATTTTCAAAAGCCAAAGAAAGATTTTGTAACTGTAGGGAAATAAAGGAAAAAGAAAAACGAATAGCAATTATATTGGCATGACTTGATACAAAAATACAGTATATTATTGATTCCAAAAAGAACTCTTAGTTAAGCTGACAATGTAAATGCACTTTTGAGAGTCAAATAAATGTTAGCCATGTAAGCAATACACCACATAAAAAAACCACTCTCCTGGAAACAAGGGCTAGTTTTTTTCACTTCACAATTGACTTTAAAACTTTGGGGTTTTTTTTGGGGGGGTCCGGTCGTGGGGCCTGAACTCTGGGCCTGGGCGCTGTCCCTCAGCTTTTCAGCTCAAGGCTAGCACTCTACCACTTGAGCCACAGTGCCACTTCCATGAATTAAGCAGTTTCAGGACAGTGCTGCTGGATTAGTAGAATTAAACAATGGTAAATTACAGTTTTTTTCTAAAGAGTAACTATTGTTTTTATGAGATTACTTCACATAAATTTTACAGAACCAGATTTTTTAATGTTCTTCAGAGGTATTTCCCCTCTGCTGAAAGCATACCTGATTCATAAGAAAATTATATTTACCTTTCTTACTACTCTCCTCCCCACATACGGATGATGCGTCAAAGAAGAAAGGAAATACATAAATGCAAAATTTTGCTCAAATATGCCCTGGTTTACAGGGGTAAGAATTAGATGTGCAGATTATGGAATGATTGGATATATATGGACCTTACTTTTTGTCTGTTTCCCCCCCACCACTCTATGCACCTCTCCTAGTCCCTATCTAGAACAATATCATTTCCACTTCTCCCTAATTCAAAACACATACATTTACATACATATACCACAAACATAATTCAAATCAATCTTCCTTCATTGCACTTTTCCACAGGTAATTTAATTGATACTCTTTGACATCTGCTGCTTCTTGAATGAAAAGTAGTTAAGAAATTGTTTATTATCAGTAAATCATGCCTTTATTTGGATATAAAATATTGGGAACAGAAATATCCGCATCAAAGCACCTGGGAAAATATAAGGTCTTTTATTAGCACTTGTTGTCACATTGACCACTTTGTAGAAACATGAATAAAAATTCAGTGAAATGGACAACACAAGTGCTTAAATGCACCCAATGAACTATCTGTATAGGTATGACATACTAATGGGAAAGGCTATTAAATCACTTAACAAGGTGGAATTCATGCAGTGAGATGAATGGACATCTG